GATCGTGACAAGAGAGAGAGAGAGAGAGAGAGAGAGAGAGAGAGAGAGAGAGAGTGAGAGAGAGAGAGGGGGGAGAGAAAGGGTGGGGGGGAATAAGTAAGAAAGAAAGAGAGAATGAACAAGAGAGAATGAGAAAGAGAGAAAAAGAAAGAAAGAGAGAAAGAAAAAAAGATAGAAAGAAAGAAAGAGAAAGGAATCAGTTATATACAACCAAAGAAAGCAGAACTTTGCTCGGGAAGATGAACGTGCATCAACTTTTAACTTGTTTTGTTTTTCGCATAATTTATTTTTGCGTATTGTTCCGTTTGATTAAATTTGATTGTTAGTATGTTAGTTAATTTGATTTTTTGTTTGTTTGTTTGTTTGTTTGTTTGTTTGTTTGTTTTGCAGATCTGTCCTCTTTGGTAGGCCCAAAGCAACCTACTTAGGGAACCTAAACAAATGGATAACGGGGAAAGATCAGGGAAACGTAGCTTTTTTAAGAGCATCCGAGCAAAGGAATGAATGTAGAACCATGATTGCCGATGTCTGTCGCAGATCTGGCACTGAGTGAATGAAGATGACCTGAGAACTGAGTGGCCTCACACCAAGGAGGTTAAACAGGAAGCCATTCCTCGACCTTTGACCACATAGAATCGAGTACACATGTTATTATTGTATTTATCGATCTGTCTTGCTGTCTTACGTCATGGTTACTGTCCTTGAGAACACTCGGGGATAATCGATAAAGTGGGAGATGAGCTTTTAAAGTGTTTGTTTTCTGCCATCTTTTAATCGTTGTATGTTTGTGTGTTTGTGTGTGTGTGTTTGTTTGTTTGTTTGTGTATGTGTGTGTCTGTCTGTCTTTCTGTCTATCTGTCTGACTATCGGTCTGTCTGTCTGTCTGTCTGTCTGTCTGTCTGTCTGTCTGTTTGTGTGTGTCCTCCTGTCCGCCTCTCACTCACTCTTTCTCTATCCATCTGTGTTTATCTATCTGACTGTCTGTCTGTTAGTCTGTCACCCCCTCCACCTTCCCTCCC